TGAGAATGAATGTCCTTTCAGTAATTAAAACAGTCATTTGCATCAATAGATCAATTATTCAATCAGTGGCTCATATTTCATGCCATATCAGTCAATCAGAAATCACAACAATTATATGTGGTACATCCAATAGCAAAATAGTATAGTAGGTCTTAATAGACTGAGCAGTCAGTTGATGGTCATCAAACAGTAAACAGTAGTGGTTCCAAACATTGGAACTGACAGAGATCTCTGTAACAATAGCAGTAACAGTAACAGTACAGTAGTAATAAATTGCTATGGATGCCACAAGTACAATTCGTAAAATAGAACAAACATTCATTCGGTAAACAATGTTATTCCAGAAAGCAGTACAATCAATCGTTCAGAAAATAATTAGAATTGAACATATCTTTACAACATCGTTACTCACAGATTACTGGGCTATCGACAGGCTAATCAGCGTCCTTGAGTGCCAACCCTACACAGTTGCAGAACGAATACACACTAAGTTACGCACTTGGGATTAATAACTTAGCCCCTATATGGCTTGGTGTGGTCCTATAACTTTATCCTCATTAAGATACCTTAAACATGGCCTAGGAATGCCTAGGATAGAATGAGGATGCAAAAATGTACTTTAAAACACTTTCAAAATTTGCTGAAAACAGGGGTCTCGCTCGAGCGTGGCTTTCACCGCTCGAGCGGACATGCAGACAAAGAGGCTCCGCTCGAGCGTGACTTCCCTCGCTCGAGCGGACTACAAACTTATGAAAAAGTACTGGATGTACGTTTTTACGCTCGATGGATACTCGAGCGCAGATTACCTCGCTCGAGCGGACTGCAAATCACATGAACTTCTGGGCATATGCATTTCACCCTCGAGCGTGACCATCGACGCTTGAGCGGAAGTGCATGTACTCAGAGTGTACGCTCAAGCGTGAAGTCCTACGCTCGAGCATAGATCAAAAATTTGGAATTTCCAGATTGATCCTCAAGCACAAAACTCAACCTCAAAGGCTTCAAATTCAATTTTTCTTTGCTAATTTTCTAGAAAACACTTAGAAACCCATAATACCACATGTTTCAAAGATCATTTTATAAAATCAAGCCCAAAGGTGTGACAATAGAACACAATTTTGAATGAAACTTTATGAACATAGCAAGAACACAACATGCATGAGTTCCTAAGAACTCCAATGCTCCAAAACATAACCAAATGCAAGATTGAGCTCAAAAACATGATGAATTTCTAGAATATGACCAATATATGAACATGCATGTGGAAATTCTTATGGAAATGACCTCAAAACTCAATGATATGGACATGCATGCACACATTGCTTCTCAATACAACATTTTAAACTAATTCTAAACTCTAATCACTAATTCTTCCAAGAACCATGCATGTAACAACTTAAATTCATAATTAAAAGAATGAATTTCCTACCTTAAGTCTTGAATTCCAAGTATGGAAGTCTAATTTTGCAAATCTTCTTCAATTCCTCTAATTTTCCAAGCAACTCTTGATGAAATCAAGTTTTCTTCCAACTCTTAACTCTCTCACAGTTTTGGTCTTGGAGATGGGTGAGATGATGTATCAAATGCATAAATTAAGTCCCAAACAATGTTTTAGAAAATGGCCCACTTAATGGCAAAACATATAATTAACTAGGCTCAATCAATTTAACATTAAAAATTCTAATTTAATCATTCCAAATTGAATTTAAATGAAACCTACCATAAAATCATATAAATCCTAATTAACACATTATACTAATCAATTTCTAAATCGGTCGCCGATAAGGCTTTCAATTCGCAGTTCGAAGTTAAAACATGAACAGATTATTCTATAGCAAACAGATAGAAATGCAATTAAAGCAACACACTCATGCAATCAATTCAGGATTTCATCTTAATCAATTACTCATCATGCTTAATCACAATTTAACGCTAATTAGAGGTGAGGGTTGTCACATCATTCCATTGTACCAAATATACACTAACAATCTCACTTAACCTAACTCTGAAAACAAACAGGGTCCAAAGATTCTAAACTTCAATTATATTTTATCACTCGGCTCACTTAGCATACAGGCTCCTAACATGAGCAATCGACAAGAGAAAAAAAAAGGAGGTAAATTATAAATACATTTTTTGAAATTTATTTAAAATACAAATTGTCTCTTATAATTTTAGAAATTACATTCCGCCCCTTCAGTTTATAATTGCATAACAAATAGACTTTTATTAATAAATTATCAAGTTAATTAATAGTTTTTAATGATGTCAAAAATATATTTTAATTAATAATTTAGATAATTTTATTGCTATATAGAAAAGTAGTTAGAAATTTTATGTTTTATATTAATTTTTTCAATAAATATTCTAAGGTATTTATAATTTTTCAAACTATAAAAAATAATTTATATTGGGTTTTGATACAGACCCCCACAAAACCCAACCCCCACGCACCTGTGTGTGAGAGAGAGAGAGAGAAAGAGAGGAAAAAATATACAATGAGTGGTCACCCATCAATTGGGGGTCATGGGAGTCACCCATTTTGAGGGTCTCAAGCATTAATGATTTATATTTAAAACAAACATCAATGATGAATTTATAATTTAAAAGCATGACTGATATTTTTTAGGGAGATTTACGTATAGTTCCTAATAAGTAGAGTTATTGTTCAATAGGTCCTATGATAATTAATGGCATTTTTCATTAAACACTATTAAAAGAAATCACTAATTGTTAATTTTTAGCTACAGTTTAAAAATTGTGTCACCAAAAATGTCAATAATTATAAGTTTTAACGGTAATTTAAAAAAATTATTACAAAAAAGTCACTAATTTTCTACTTTTAGTGACAATTTATATATGTCACTAATTGTCAATTTTTAGCAACATATGCAAAAAATGTCACAAAAAATTAGTTTTAGCGACGAATTTTTTAAAACTTATTTTTAATAGGACTTGATAAGAATTAAATTCAACTATTAAGATCTATTGATAATTTATCCTATTTTTTAAACGAGGCATGCAAGAGCATAATTTTTATTAGGCCCGCTATATCATTTTGGGTCTCAACACGAAATTTATTTTAAATTAAGGTTCTTTGATATTTAAAATTTTAATTTAAATAATTATTTTTTATCTTTCAAATTATTATTTTTATTTTTATGTAAGTTTCATTTTTGTCACATTTGGAGGTAGAAAATTATTAATTAAATATTTCTAACATATATTTTGTACATAGTGACATGAAATCGTGTGACAAAGGTGGGGAGAAATTATGCACCCAAAAAGGTGGGGAGAAATAATAATATGTTAGAAAATAAATTGAAATATTCTATGGTTATTAAATGATTAGCATAGTATAAAAACATTTCTTTTAAAACAACTATTAATAAGAATAAGAGAAATTTTGTTATAACCATTTTTATACAGTAAACGTACTGAGAAATATCTGACAATTGTTGTCCTCATGTCAAGTCACCAACTCTAAAATTGAAGTGTGAACCTTAGAAAATGAGTGGGAGCTCTGATTAGACCTACTACTAGTGATGTGGTAGTGGGTTTCATCCACTGTCACAGTATGTGTTGTGTCTGTTTTTTTTTTTTTTTACTTTGCCACCTCATTAGTAGTAGGTTTAAAGTCACTAAATTAATGGTGTCTAACACGACCGGTTAACTTTTTATAAATGAGTTGGGTGGATGAAATTTGGAGATAGCCAGTCATTGGCTGGTGATAAACTAGGGAAAATCTAAGAAATCTGATTCTACAAATTTGTTCAGTTTTTATTGGCATATTGGATCCTTAATGCAAGTTTTCTTGACCCAAGACAAGTTGAGGCTTTTTTTTTTTTTTTTTTTTAAAAAAAAAAAAACAAGTGTTATTCGAAACAAAATTAAAGCCAAAACGCTTTCAAACTTACAGTGAAGTCATGTTTTTAATAAAAAGTCATATTTTAAAATTTACAATTTCATCATAAGATGAAATGAATTTAAGAATAACAGAAAATAAATTTTGAAACAATTCGGATTTGATAAATAAGTCAAGATATAGTAATATTTAGATAGGTAAAATGCCTACTACCGTTAGAAATGCTCTAATGCCTGATTGGAGGGGATGGATTCCCAAATGTAACCATGTAAAAAACACCCCCAAAAAACAAAACATTAATGTTTACTCAAACTGATGGTAGCCTCACATTTATGTTCATTTATTCCTTTCTTCTTCACATAAGTGGACAAAACAATACATGTTTTAATCACAATATTTTGTTATAATATTTTATTTATTATCTCGGGTTCAGACGGTCTTCGATTTAGATTTGAAACAGCTCGGTCTAGTTCGGTTCATTGAGCTTATTTTTGGATTCCTTTTCGATAATTAGAACCGTTCACATTTTAGGGTTTGTTGAGTACATTATTTCTTTAAAAAATCACGTCGATTAGATAAAGTATACTATGTATTCGGATTATTTTTATCTAGAAAAAAATAAGCAGTTAAAAAATTAACGGTTTATAAAAAAGTAATCCGAATAGATAGTATCCGTTATCCGATCAACATGATTTTTCACAGGAATAATATACTCAACAAACCTTAAAATACGAACGGTTCAAATTATCGATAAGAAACTCAAAAGCAGATCTAATTAGCTGAACTAAACCCCCCATCTAGATGGTCAACGGAAGGTAAGCCCCAACCTATTATCTCACATGATAATAGTACATACAAATAGTAACACTTATTAAATTAACAGTGGTAATTAAGAGTTCTAATAATAGAACTCTAATAAGAGCACCAGTGACGTGGTGGCCTAAAAAAAAAAACAAAACAAAATAAAACAAAGGCCAAAACATCAAATCACATATTGGGACTCACAAGTTAGAACTCTTTTAGAGCTCACAATCTATAAGTCTAAAGTATTTTTCTTAAATTAATAGATAATTAACACATAAGACAATAATATATACATATATATATGATTGGAAAATATGTTGAAACGTTACACCTCAAATAGACAATATTAAATGTGAATCGTAGTCTCTGAGCACAGATGTGACTATAACCCCAAGTTCCTCCACATTCATAGCAAAATTGAAATCCGCACATGCAACCACAAACATATGTATATTATATGAGAAAAGTTATGGATTATGAAAAAAAAAATTTGAAAATGATTATAAAAGATTTATGATTTTTGGATTATTTTGATTAGTGTGGAGTGTTTTATTTTAAGTGTAATTTAAGGGTTACAAAAATTTTATGATTATTTTCATGAAAAGTTTTTCATGATACCTAACATTGTTGATATTATATATCACTCACTCAACACCAAACATGAAATTTATTAAAAAATTATTTTTCTTGTTTCATATTCATAAGATATTTTTTTATTTTAATAAATTTTATTATTTTAGACATTTGATTTTGTTGGCTTTTTGGCTTTTCGAAGGGTATTTTTGTAAATGTGAGCGTGCCAGCAAGGATCAATCAGTCCTTACAGAAATTGTGATTGCCAACCAATTATCAGACGATTGTGTTTTAGTTCTTTTCAGCCTCAATGAAGAGGACTTTTACTGGTGGCTAGACTTAGGAGAAATTAAGAGAAATAACAGTAATACGAAGAACAATTGAAGTATTTCATAAAAATGAACACTTACAATGGTCCGAACTCAGCCTCAGAGAGGTTTACAACAGCAATCTACTTGAATCTACTTGAAGCTACTCCTATGAATCGAAGTGCAGTGCGGGTATTTAAAGTGCAGGTATTCAAAGAACAGGTATTTAAAGACTGGAAATGTAAAAGACTGGAAAATAAAATATATGAAGTAAACGACTGATTTGTATGATCTGAGTCCATCCTTTTTTCTGGGGGCTGCCCTGCTATTTATACTCGTCAGTGATGACCTTCGAACTGCACTTCGAACCGTCGAACTGCTCCTCCATGATCGCTGATCATGCTTCCTTACAAGTAGCTCCATTACGCCATTACTGGCAGTTGAGCTTCCCTCTTGTACTTGAATTTGAATATGAGTAACCGTTGAAGATATGTCATCTTGCATCCCGTTATTGATCTAGTGTTACTCAGATCATGTGAGGACCAATATTTATTGCCACGTGTACGATCAGGATTAAAGGCTTGAATAACCTTCCTTTATTACCCTTACTCTGCCACGTGTCGAACTGTAACTGGCTTTTACAAAATATGTAGCCAACAGATTTATAAAATCTTAAAAAAATAATACTCAATTAGTACACATTAATGTGTGTTTGGAAGGGAAAATATTAGATACAAGACAAGTTTTTACCATTGATTCACCAAATTCTAATTCTCATATTTAAGATCTTTTATGGATAATTTTACTCTTCCAAATATTTTTTGAACTCTTAGCAACTTTGTAATATGAACATTCACATTAAATAAATTTGACAATATGAACATTAATGCGCTCTTCACCCTATTATTGTTAGAAACATTCTGGTAACTATATTACTCATATGATTTATTGGAACATAAAAAATTAATTTGGAATAAGAAAAACATAAGTAAAGAGGAATTTATGAATAAATGTCCCTAAAATAATATGATAGTGACATTTTTTTTGTTTTTTTTGAAATTATAAGCCACTGAGTGGCTGTTTTGATTTGAAATAAAAGAATTACAAGATACCATATCATTCTGTATGAAAATTCAGCATATAAATTTCATTTACTCTTTTGAAATACTTTTCAGGGTACACAGTTTTTCCAATTATATTTGGCCTACCAAGAAAAAACAACAATGCTACAAACTTAAAACTTTTATCAAGAAACAACAATGCGTGATCCAGATTTAATCTGTGCATGGACCACACAAAGAATTACAAGATACCATATCATTCTGTATGAAAATTCAACATATAAATTTCATTTACTCTTTTGAAATACTTTTCAGGGTACACAGTTTTTCCAATTATATTTGGCCTACCAAGAAAAAACAACAATGCTACAAACTTAAAACTTTTATCAAGAAATAACAATGCGTGATCCAGATTTAGGCCTAGTTTGGGAAGACTAAATAAGTGCACTTTTTGACTTTTTATGAAATATGGGTTGGGTTTGGGTTGGGTTTGAAGTGATGTGTTAGAGAGGTAATGTGACTTAAATAAGATGATGTGACTTAAATAGGATAGTGACTTTTTGACTTTTTATCTTTTTTTAATCATGCCAAACTTGGCCTTAATCTGTGCATGGACCACACAAAACAACATTTAAATCTCAATCCTTAATACACATTCTGAGTAATTTTTCAAACAAAAAATATGGGTACTTAGACTTTCTGAAGAAAAAAAAATTTACAATCAATGCAATGCAGGAGTGGGGAAATTGTCTCCAAATTCATGTTCATATGTCCCAATGCAGTTGCAAGTTCCAATCACATGATGAGGTGAAAATTTTAAATTATGAGAATTTTGAAACATAATCCAATAATTAAAATGGAAGCAATGATAAATAGTAGCTTTCATTAGTCTCGAGATATTAATACTTGTCTAGGGACTTACCTACAATTCATATGGGAACAACCATATGTTCTTTCAACATAAAATTTGCAGTGAGGACAACTCACCCATCTGTTACTCTTACGTCGTGTTTTGTTGGGAGATTTAGGGAGGGATTTGAAAAGAGAAAAGGAAAATGTGTGTGAAATTAGGTGAAATATAAGTATATTTTATTCACATTTCACCTACCTTTTCTATTTACTTTTCTAAATCCCTTCTCAAATCTCTCAACCAAACACAGCATTAGCAAATTCTCTCACCATCAGATCTTTCATCTCTCTCTCATTCTCATTCAATCTCTGAAACTCCTCGCACTCAATCCCACCATGCCACGGCACATAACACTCTGCGCAAAACAGCCTGTGACAAATAGGACACTCACACTCCCTAATTCCCTCTCCACCATTTTCATCAACCAACATTGCAGAACAGTCCTTAAAGGGACAGTGAAATTTCTCTGTTTCAAGAATCATAGACTCACACACCAACTCATCCCATTTCGCAACCACTTCAACCGCCATCCTTGCCCTGCAAAGAGAGACGGACAGAGAATATCAATGTAGAGGGGATGAACATATATAATAATAAAAAAACATATAAAGAAAGTATGAAGTACAACATTAATTCTACTGGCATGAAAAGTAAAAAAAAATATATTTTGAAAATTTGTATATCGATAAACATGTTCTCTTTTTATTCATATTAAGTGTTATGAAAGAGCAATTGTAAAATATTTTGTTTATTAAAGTAAGATATCTTGAGTTGAACTCGATACTTTTTCATGTTATTAAAAGCATCTATGACAAATTTGGCGTTAAAACTCCAAACAATGTCTTTCTCAATAATTATGATCAAGTACCTTTATGATTCCTCATCCATCCCCTCTTCTCTACGTCTTAGAGTTTGTAATCAATAATAACTATGAAAAATTAGTTTTTATTTTTTGGTCATATTTTGTCCAATTTCTTTAATTTTATACTTTAACCCGATGTTTTCTAAAAAAAATTAAGAACCTAGAGAAAATGGCCACTTCATTTTATTGTAAAGGGATATTTTTGAAATCATAAGGGGGTGATCACTCCTGTAGGTTCATCCTTGCCTGCAAGCATTGAGTTCTAGCACGCCTTTGCAGCCCCAACCGGGGCATTTGACAACTCTCATATTTTCTTGGATCTTCGTAGCGACGTGCTTGTTTATGCAATCAAAACAATAGGAATGAGAGAAGTTATGGATTCTGAACATGTCGTCGAATTCTTTCCTTTCCATGCAAATCTCACAGAAGCTCTGAGATGATTCACCAACTTCTTTTGTTGGCTCGACTGGTTCTGGGGTGGTTGATGCAGGACTTGCTTGGATTGTCGATGGCATGACAATGTTTGGCATTTGAGAATCCATGATTGAGCCCATTAGAGCTTCTTGGAATTGTAGCTCTTCTGCATACTTGGAATCTGATATAGAGAAAATCTGATCTTGGTTTTCATCAAAGAGAGCTGAGAAGTAGAATTCATCTACCAATTGAAGAGCAGAGATTGATTCTTGTGCCATATTTCACAGCCTCTTCTTATGAAATTTCTTTTCTATACATATATATATATATATATATATGAATGTAAATGTAGATATAAATAAAGGGTATTGGAACTTCACAAAAGAGTTGGGTTTGGAAGGTGAATATTGGTCTTTCATAGTTGAGTTTTGAATTGTTCATTGTGGAGATTAGCATTTTTTTTATTCTTCTAGGATTCCTAAAAGTTTTAAACATTCTTTTCTAGTTCTTCCAACATTCTGTGTTGGAGAAGCTACATTTGTGGTGAATACTACAATTTATGCTGACTGATTTGATGATATAATTGAAGGGGACTTGACCTAATTTTAATGCTGCCTCACTAGGTTGCTTGTTTGTTTGACCCTAAAAAACAATTAACATGTTACATAGTCTTTATTTGTCTATTATCTTGGGATTTGAATGGAAACAGAGTACTGGAGGACCTTGAACCCTTCTTTTTTTAAAAAAAAAATTTAATAATCTCATTGACATTAGTCTAAACTACCGTCTCTTACATAAGTTGGCAACCAACTTATGATAGAGTTGGTGGTATAGGCTAGCGGTGCAAAAAATATCCACTAAATCAAATAACTGAACCGATATGACCATTCAGCAAAAATGTTAATTCTTTACCCCCAATCCTACCCCCAAAATGTCAACATTCAATTGACCGGCTCACTGGCTTTTTTCTTTTTTTTTTTCCCCTTTCAAGAATGCTATGAATTATGAAAATTTGGAATCTTATCATGAAATCAATGTGTGACATTGACTTAAAGTTAGTGGGATGTAGGTCACACCCACAATGAATATAGACCATTGATTCATTTTTCTGAATACGTAGCATTGTTGTTTTATTTATTTATTATTATTATTACACATTCTTGTCCTTATTAGAGACAACAATAGTGTAAATTCAAGAATTATGGGCAATTGGACATCCAATTCAAGGAGGCCAAAATCAAGAGTGATATATATTGGAAGCCAATCAAGAGAGAAGAGAGAATCTACAAAATGCTATATATGCTTCATGAAACTGTGATACTATTACATGCATGTTGAACATTTTTTTTTTTTTTTTCTATAAGATACCCATTTTGAACACTTAAATTAATAATTAAGCCAAGTCTTAATTGCAACACATTTTACAACAACGTGAATATAAGAATCAAATGAAATCTTCATTGTTGGTAAACCAGTTGATCCTGAGGAAGTCCTTTCCAGCATCAAGAGGAACATCTTGGATGACTTTCTCATGGCCCTTCGGATAGTAAATTCCGGTACGGTGATCGGGTACCCACCAGTCACCGCTGCCGCCGCCGCTGTCAAGGCTGCTAGTTTTGTTCTTCATTTCCTCACCACCATTCAGTTTCACAGCATCACTTACCATGTCACCACATGACCCTTTTTTATGGTAGGCTTTTCTCAGCATCGGCCTGTTTGTTAGAAAAAGGCCAAGAACAGGGACGGAACCTAAATTTAATCACCGCATGAGCCAAAAGGCAAATAATATTTTTTTGTCTTATATAAATTATATATACATAAAAAAAATTCAAATAGGATGAAGAAATTTTTTGATAGAAAATAAAAAGAGAATATAAGATAGGAGATGAATGAGATCTATATCTTTTATACTAAGAGGCCATTTTATTTGTGAAATAAGATATATATATATATATATATTTAGAAATGTTATGGCAAACAAAGTTTAACACAGAAACAATAGAGGCCACGGCACACATAGTCTTCTCATAATTCCATCACTACCGATCAAAAAGAATGTGTTAAACTTGTGTAATCTGCTAAGGAAGTAAGCTTGTTGACCTGCGTAAATTTTGATATCTTCTCAAAGTGGTGATTCTTGGTCTAATATCTATTTTTGTATCTAGCTTCCCTTTAGTCTAGATTACTGGAGGGGTTGTTCAGGCCGTAACGCTCATTACAGGTCTCGTTTCAATTATATAAATTGTTCACTTTATTAGACTCTATATCATTCACACACAAAAATTAGATCGATCTCATAATTATAAAAATAAACAACAAGTATATTTTTAAAAATATTAAAGCCCAAAAATTATACTCACTTTTCTAACCTAATAATGTGCCAGTATATTAAAACATCTAAGGTAAATATCTCTATTACATTTTTTTCTAATCACCCACCAATCATTTCATTTACATATCATTGGATTTAAAAAGTGGATATATAAAATAGACTTGTATATCATTTTCGTTTTAAAAATAGAACATTTATTATTTAGTAATAAATGCGATAAATTAAATAAGTTACAAATATCGAATCAACTTAAATTTTTGTGTGAATAATATACACAAAAATTCCTACAAAATAAAATTTTAAATTATCAAAATAAGATCTATGATGAATCCCATGATCTGAGACACTCCCCAGTCTTTCGTTTCTTGCTCTAATATTTATTTATTTTTGCTTATTACACGAACAAGAACATTGTGTTAAATAAATTGTAATTGGTCAACATGGCAAAAAATTATACTCACTTTTCAAACCTAATAATGTGCCCAAAAATATACTCACTTTTCAAACCTAATAATGTGCCAGTATATTAAAACATCTAAGGTAAATATCTCTATTATATTTTTTTAAAGTATATTTTTAAAAATATACTTTAAACACCTAGATCCATATTTTTAAAATATATTTTTAAAAATATTAAAGCCCAAAAATTATACTCACTTTTCAAACCTAATAATGTGCCAATATATTAAAACATCTAAGGTAAATATCTCTATTATATTTTTTTTCTAATCACCCACCAATCATTTCATTTACATATCATTGGATTTAAAAACTGGATATATAAAATAGACTTGTATATCATTTTCATTTTAAAAATGGGCAATGATTGGTGGCCACAAATTTTGTGGCTCAAATGGCCCGAAAATACCAAAACGACGTCGTTTTGGATACAAAACGACTCTGAAAATGTCAAAACGATGTCGTTTTGACATTTTCGGGACATTTGAGCCACAGAATTTGTGGCCACCAAACATTTTCCTTTAAAAATAGAACATTTAGTTTTTAGTAACAAACGCGATAAATTAAATAAGTTACAAATATCGAATCAACTTAAACTTTTTTGTGAATAATATACACGAAAAATCTTACAAAATAAAATTTTAAATTATCAAAATAAGATCTATGATGAATCCCATGAACTGAGACACTCCCCAGTCTTTTGTTTCTTGCTCTAATATTTATTTATTTTTACTTATTACACCAACAAGCACATTGTGTTAAATAAATTGTAATTCGTCAACATGGCAAGGTACAACATTTTATTTTTACGCATTAAAAACGCATCATAACTCATGATATCTGGTGATTGATTTATGATATGATCATCTAGTCAAATAATTTTCGAACCTACTGAGCAAATTCAATTAAAGAGGTGTTATTGAGATTTAATAAACGGTTCTATTTCGATAATCCAAACCGTTAAAATAGAAATATTATGAATTTCTATTGCTTACAAGAATTAGTATATAAAAAAAAAAAATTAGTTAAAAAAACCTTACTTGAAGTAGATGGTGTTCATGGTCTGTGCTCCTCTACCAACTGTCGTTGCCATCTCTCTCTTCTTTCTTTCTAAAAGATACAAAGTGAGTTGTGGATGGATAGAATGAGCCCATTTTCACTCATTTTATAGGAAGGAGCTAAGATAAAGGACAATTTGGATTCCCAAGAAAGTGGCTAACTTCGGTCTGCCTTACCTCATTGGTTCATTTTGGATTTTAGCTAACAAATGGTAGTTTTATTAGTTTTTCTGAATTGTAACGGAACATTTTGTTTTTGGATAAGATTGTAATTCACACGCTACTTGGTTGGATGTTTGTGGATCGGATTTCCATTCATTATCTGTCTGATTTTAGATAGATATAAAAAGAAAATGGTTGAGACTTCAATTTTTTCTCGACTCCTACAACCCTCAATGTATTAAGATTCACCAATTTTTTGCTTTTTATTTTTTGTGTTTTTTTCCCTCCTATCACTCACTGACATGTGTCTGTAGGGTTGTGAGAGTCAAGAAAAAATGGGGTCCTTATCATTTCTAGATATAAAAAAACAAAACTGCTAGGTAGCTAGAAATTCCTTTGGCCCGAGTGGCTCGACTGCCCAAAACAATTTTCTTTCTCTTTTCTCTCAGAAGAAGAAGAAGAAGGGAAAAAAAAAAAAAAAAAAAACAAGAGAGAACAGAGCCTGAAAAAAAAAAAAGGGACTATTCAAATCATCATCAACAACAATACACAACATCATCATCTTCAGATCCATATTCACTAGGAAAAAAAAAAGTTGAGAAAACAGAGTCTGGACTGTTCAAATCATCATCAACAACAACAAAAACACACAACATCATCATCATCAACAACACATAGCATCATCAACATCATCATCTTCAAAGCCAGATTCACTTAAAAAAAAAAAAGTAGAGAAAACAAAGTCTGAAAGAGGCGATCAGCAACAACAACAACAACACACATCATCATCATCAACAACCAACAATCACCACCAAAAAAATATATATATATTGTAGAATCTGAAAAAGGCGAGAGACCCACCGACAATCTGCAGATCTGGACGGCAATACCCACTGGCGCTGCCACTAGCAGAGAGAGAGAGACACTGCCATCACCATCGATCTTCCTTCTCTTCCTCCTCCGCCATCACCATCTTCTTCTCCACCATCACCGTCTTTCTCTCTTCCTCCTCCTCCTCTCCATCTTTTCTCCTTGTCCTTCTTCTCTTCCTCCTCCTTCTCTCTATCTTCTCTCTTGCCTCTTCTCTCTTCCTTTTCTCTTCCCTCTTCTCTCTCTCTCTTTCGCCTCTTTCTTCTGTCTGTATTCGAAAGCAAGAAAAAGAAGAAAAAAAAAATACCCAAAACGACGTCGTTTTGGGTATTCGAGCCAATCAGGCCAAGTTTTTTTCGAGTTACGAAGGATTATTCATAAAAAAATAAATTTGCATTTGTCCGCTTAGTTAACCCATATAGATTGAATAGATTGTTTGAGTTAGTGTGTAAATAAAAATCGATTTGGCAATTTAGATTTTATTTTTTTTGAGTATTTTTTTATTATTTTCTAGTAAATCTTTATTGTTTTGAGCTTTATTTTGGTCTAAAATTTTTTATTTTTTATAATAAAAGTAAAAACTCAACTTTCATATTTCATAAATAGCTATAACTGCTAATTAATAAAAATTCATTTTTTAACATACAAAACATAAGCCATAGAATCATTTTCTAAAATGCTAAAGAAAAAAAAAAGTTATCATGTTTTAAAATAAATAAAAAGACACAATTGTCAATACATTGCCATTTATTTTATTAAGTAAAAATTTATCACCACATCTTTCTACCAAACAATGGGTGCTCGCGGATCGGATTAGGCCGGATGGCCTCTCATTCGCAATCCGTTCAAACTGAGGCAGATTCAGAAAAATACATTTGCATCCGTCCATTCAAACCATCAAAACCGCTCATTTTATGACAAATCAGTTCGAGTCATTCAATTTTGACGGGTCAAATGGATGTTTGCCAAACCTTACTAATTATTGTGCCCATAGTTCGCTTTCCCTTTCACTAAGATTTGGGAAATCTATTTGCACACAATCAATACTCTCGGTATATACCATCTTCTAAATTCACACCATATCAAATTTCAAACTTCTTATTTTTTGTCAAATCACACCATTTATTTTCAAATAATCCCAAATGCCCTCTTCCTCTCAAAATGTCTAATCTAACCCTAATATAGTCATTGTCACCGCCCTAGCCCCGTCAGCCTCCGTAGGCCTGTTGTCCACTCATCTTTTATCTTCATTCGCCTTCCTCCACTCTCCAAAACTACTCTCGTTCCTCTTCTAACCCACCCTACCGCTGCCAATGCCGACACCAACAACTTTGATCACAATGATAGATAGTGGATAGAGATCACGGTTGAGAGACTGAGAGAGATCGATACACACACACACATACACAGATGAGAGATTGAAAGGTAATAAGAAAGATTGTGGAAGTGGTAGGGAGAAGTGGAGGTAATGAGAATGAGTTGGGTGCGGGCTGGGAGAGTCGTCGAAAATGATAACAGTAGTGGCGACGGTGGTAGTGGTAGAACAATGAAGAAAGGAAGAAGAGGTGGGGCGATGACAGGGCTAGGCAAGGTGCCGGTGGTGGTTGGTTGATGGTGGTGTCCAGAGGAAGGGTGTGATGGTGGATTTGACTTTGGGGGTTTTGTCCAAAATGGTAATTTCATTCAAGGACACAATGGTAATTTAAAAAAAAATACACAATAGTGTGTAAATAGAATTGTCCTTTAGATTTATAACATAAGTTTCTAGCTAATATTGGTAAAAGTGTCCTTTTTTTCCTTTTTGCTTTTTTTTATATGTAGGATATCCTGGGACAGATTGCGCGCATCGACTAAATCCTTACAGCTTGAATAAGTCTTTCGAAACATGTTTATTTATTGTGATCCGTGGCCTCAAGAATTTTGATGACCAGAAGAGTCGAACTTGAAACCTTTAAATGAGCAAATTTTTAAATCTCGGGTCTCATCCACCCAATCAAACCCTTGGGGTTCTGATAAAAGTGTCCTGCTAACCCTATTTTAATTACTTTGTTAAAACTTAAATAACATAAACAAATTTAAATTTTACTATATATTATATATATGTGGAAAATTTCTACAATGCACTTCTAAAAATGTATATACTATATATCTCAATTATACTTTTATAATTTTTTGTTATAATTTATTATGATATCGGTTATAATTTAATTATGACATATTATTGTTATTATTTTAATTATAAGCAAAGAGATCTTTGATTATATCTCAAATGATGACACATTATGTTATTAACTATGACTCACTTATAATATATTGTAGTTATAATTTTAGTTATTATTGAAAAAGTTATTAAATAGATCTCAAAGTATTTAATTATGATTCATTAAGTTATGACATAAATTTTTTTAATTATGACCCTTTACATTTGGTACATCGTTTTCTTTTTTTTTTCTTTTTTTTTAAGGAACGTGTATTAAAGTATTACTCATAAAAAAATTATCAGACACAACCGGTTGTGCGCCATGGGGATCGAGGCTCTTGGACCGCCAGCAGATATCCCTTCTCTGACTCGCATTCTTTGCAACTCTTCTCCGTCTACCCTCGTCTCCCTTGCTCCTCGTAAGTCTTCTTCTCTTTTCTTTGCAATCTTACTTTTTGTTTATTATTTTCATTTTCGTGAACCCTTTATTCCCCGTGAAAATGGCCAAACACTTGAAAGACCTTCTTTCTGAGGGTCGTGTCTCCGGATTCCGGCGACACTTTTCCATCCCCGACGATGTTCATCTATCTCTAGTGACGGACAACACTCTGGATATGGAGAGAGAGGATCAAAATTCAATCGTCTTTCCTCTCCTATCCATTGCAGATGGTGGGGTCCGTTTTCCCCTACATCCATTCCTTAGGGCCATCCTCCGCTATTGGGGTCTGATTCCTTCTCAACCCAACGTGAACTTTTTTCGAATTGTAATGGGGATCGTAGAGTTAAACCGGCGCCTCAAGATCGATCTTGGGATTCCGGCCATTCGACACTGCTATGCTTTAGCCAAATCTTCTGGTCGGCTTGGGCAGTACTTTCTTAGGGCCAAGGATACTGACCATCATTTGGTAACCATGCTCGCTAGTTCTGGCAAATGTGTGGATGACGTAATGGTCAATATCTGAGGGAATCCGAGGGAACTGGGAATTTGGCAAAGGCGAGGATTGCCTAGACCCTATTCCCAGACGGAGGGGTGAACCAGGTTGCCGTGTGTCTCCTTGTGTTTTACTGAACTTTTCTTTTACTCGGCTTTCCCCCTGTGTCTAACCCTTTGCCTTTGCAAGCAGTAATTTGAAGAAGATTCTGGTTTCTACCGACGACGCGGTCCTTGCGCAGGTTGCGACTGCACTCGGATACTTCAATCGTCCAAACTTACAGAAGCAAGGGAGGGCGGCCCACATACTTCTTCGATACGAGCCTACTTACACTACTTTTTCGGCCGTTGACAATATTCCAATTCCATCCGGCGATCGACAGCTTGCGACTCTTATCTTCCCTAGCCTCAAGAGTCTCAGACAAGTTGGTCTCGAAGCCTCTGACTCGGGGCAAGACATCGAGCCGGTGGTAGAGGTAGTCGCCGAACCAGACAGAGAGTTCACTGAGGAGGCCGAAGAGGTTGACGAGGCCCTAAACTCGGCGTTTGAGGCAGCCAGACGTAGTCAGCCTACCTCGCCGTCCACTTCGGGTCGGGCGGAGTTTTCTTTTGGAGATATTTTTGGAAGTTTGGGAGACCTACCCGACGATTTTCTTGAAGGTATGGCTGGGGAAAACCTGACGCAGATGGCTGGAAAGAAAAATGCCGAGCAAATGGCCGCCAGGAAAAAGGCCGAGGCCGCCCGTTCTGGACCTGCCTTGATTGAGTCTTTCGAACCCATTATTGAAGAGCTGGCTCAAATTGTTGCGGCCGAAACGGCGAAAGAGGTTGACAACCGCTTCATTGATGAACGGTTGATTCTGGAAGAGCGGGGAAGAAACTATGCGCCGAGGGAGAGGCCAGTTCAGAAGATAGTCTTGCCGACAAAAGGCCTCGCTTAGAAGAATCGGACGTGGTTATTCTTTTTATTGTTC